ATTCAGTGACTGGGGTAATCGGGATGGGTGTATCAGAGGCGGTGCGGTTGGCGCAGGATAGAGCAGGGTTTAGGGCTGTTGTGCATAGGGTCGCTATGAGTCGGAAACGACTCGACGGCACATAACAACAACAACAACAACAATGGCATTTGGTCAAAATCGGAAGCTAACACAGCTGCGCTGCAATCCCAAAGGCATGCAGTTCAAATCTACCAGCTATTCTACAGAAGGACAGGCAATCTCATCCTTGTGATTTATTGTCTCTGAAAATTCCTTGGAGGTTCCGGTGTGGATTGGTTCCAACACGATGACCTACAAAAACATAGCTCAAGAGATACAAAATCTCTTCCTTCATCCCTCCACAGGAAGATGTATTGCTTTCTTTGGGATGCTGCATTATTCCTCTACTAGATGATTCTTTATTGTCTAGAGAAAGGAATGTTTTTGCATTAATTTTATACTGAATTGAAAGGAACTATCATTTATTCAATGTCTGTCACATACTGGACATTCTCACAATTTATCTTTATTCAGCCTTTAAAAAGTCAACCAAGTTAGGTTTGGTAATTTTCTGTTTCATGGTCAAGTTTTGCGTAGACATAAGTTAAAATGATACTGAGGTTTCTAGAAGATAAGGAATTCAAAGTAATCAGTGAACTTTGGATCACTTCTACTCAAAATTAACCTAAGCTGTACTTTGTACATTAGTGATTTCAAAATCTACTTAGCAATATCTTAATAGATTGTGAAATTGATTTTTCAAAAGTATACTAACAGATTTTATTTTTTAAGAGCACTATTGATTCAGTGACTGAGGTAATCAGGATGGGTGTGTCAGAGGCAGTGCGATTGGCACAGGACAGAGCAGAGTTTAGGGATGTTGTACATAGGGTCGCTATGAGTTGCAAGCGACTCGACGGCACATAACAACAACATTACAGTTAGAGAAAATTGAGAAGACACAGTTAATCTCTTCTTCCCCAACACATTTTATTAATATCTTATACTAATGATTTGTTATAATTAATGAACTATTAGTATTGATGAACTTTTTGTTAATGGAAGTCCATACATTAATGTTTACTCTTTGTATTTTACATTCTTAAGGGTTTCAACAAATCCTTACTGCCATACACTCACCATTACAGTACCACACATAAGTTTCACTGCCCTAAAAATGACCCAAGTGCCCCCTATTAGTCCCTCCTCATACCCGAACCCTTTGGTGATGACTCATCTTTTCACTGTTGTTTATAGTTTTTCTAGAATGTCATGTAGCTGGCATCATACACTATATAGATTTTTTTTTGGACAGGTTTCTTTTGCATGTTGTTATAAGTTGTTGTGTGCCATTAAGTTTTAAAACAAAAAACTTATTGTTAAGTCGACTGACTCCTAGTTGATGCTCCAGCATATTTCCAAGGCTGTAAATCTCCTAAGAAGGGACAGCCTGTCCTTTGCTTATGCATTTAAACCACCAGAGAGGCATTCCCTTTCATGGAAAAGTCCAATTCCATATGGACTAATTCATCAGCGTTCCCTGGGCTGTCAAGGTAGCAGTATGAATTTAAGGTTCTCCATGCTTTTTCATGGCTTGCTGACTCATTTCTTTTTAGCACTGAATAAACATTCACTGTATCGATGTACCATAGTTTATCTGTGCAACTACTGGAAGACATCTTGGTTGCTTCCTAATTTTGGTAATTATGAATAAAACTCATAAGCATTTGTGCTAAGGTTTTTGCCTATATACTAATATTCAGCTTATTTGAGTAAATATTTCAAAGCCTGATTGGAGAATCATAGAGTAGATCCATGTTTAGCTTTTGTAAAAAAATTGCCAGCTTACCTACAACCAGGAGAGAACAAAATAGATGAATGGGACCTTCTACAAATCAAATCCCTATGCACATCAAAAAACCTTCTCCAACAGAGTAAAAAGGAAATCTACAGATGGGGGAAAAATAATTGGTAATGGCATATCTAATAAGGGATTCATATCTAAAATTTCTGGAATACTCCATCACCTCAACAAGAAAAAAAAAACCCAGTTGTAAAATGGGCACAGGCTAAGAATAGATGCTTCACAAAAGAAGACATTGAGATGGCAAACAAACACATGCAGAAATGTTCAAAATTGTTAGCTCTCAGAGAGATGCAAATAAAAACAACTATGAGATAGCATCTCACCCCAACAACAATAGCAAAGTTTGACAGAGTAGTAAATAACAATTGCTGGTAAGGTTATGGAGAGATTGGAAACCTTATTCACTGCTGGTGGGAGGGTAAAATGGTTCAAATACTATGGAAGGCAGTTTGGTACTTTCTCAAAAATTTGGAAATAGGGATACCATTTGACCTAGAAATTGCATTGCTGTAAATATACCCTAAAGAAACCAGAACTGCCATGCAAACAGACGTATGCATACTCATGTTTATTGCTGTACTGCTCACAATAGCAAAGAGATGGAAGCAACCCAAGTGCTCATCAAAAAAATGAATGGATAGAAAAACTGTGGTATATTCACACAATTAGTAAGGATGGTAGAAGGAGAGAGACTTGATGCCTTTGAGCTGTGGTGCGGGAGAAGAGTACTGAATACACCCTAGACTGCTAGAAGAACAAACAAGTTCATTGTGGAGATGGTGAAACCAGGCTGCTCCTTGGAGGCAAAGATTCTGAGGCTTCGTCTGATATACTTTGGACATGTTGCAAGGAGGAACGTCATGCTTGGGAGGGTGAAGGAACAGCACAAGAGAAAGACCTTCGATGAGATTAATTGGTTCAGTGACTGGGGTATTGAGGGTAGATGTGTCAGAGACAGTGAGACTGGCACAGAATAAAGCAGGGTTTAGGGCTGTTGTACATATGCTCGTTATGAGTCACAGGCAGCTTGATGACACATATCAACAGTAACAATATATGTACAATAATATCTCATTGCTGTTACTATAATTTATTTGTGCAGTTGTCACTGAAAATATACACATAAAAATATACTCCAATTCTTAATTCTATTTAGATAATTCAGTGACATTGGAAATCTACTAATTTTTTAAAGTAAAAGAGAAGATAAAAAAAATCAGTATGTGTTACACGCAGGAACAATAAATATTGGTTTCATGAGTGTTCAGATTCAGATTTGTGTCATTTAAATGTATGGGATGTGCACACTTCCTGGTCATTATAAATGGTAAGAGATTCATTTACTGGGTCCTGTTAAGGAAATTTGAAAGCCCTTGCTTTGTCCAAGATGGTTTGGGAGATGGGAGCAATAATAGGGAACCACAGAAGACAAAGGAGCTTAATATGTTTGATCACAAGAGTACACAAAATGCACAGACTTCATAAAATGCAGGAGTCCCATAATCAACGCTTAAGGAGGATCCATTACATTCTTCTCTTCAAACCACAAAATCTGTTCAAAAAACAAAGATTATTCTCCTAAATGCTCTTGTGGGGTTTTGAACAAAATCTATCATTACCTAGCATGTGTATTTCTGAAAAACTATTTGTAACTTACATTCTATTAAGTGTAAAGCAAACATTCTTAATTAGCGACTTTAAAAAAAAGCCACATTTAAAAAAATAGAAATCAATATTCTAACCTTTTAGAAAGTAAACCATCTTTTGGAAACATAATTAATAATCTGCTTTGTCACTGAAGATTTTGTACATTATGCATTTTATCCTGGGGCAGATAAATACTATGATTCAGCAAAACTTAAAAAGGAGATTAAAGCTTATTAAGTAATAATAAGTACTTATTATAAAAGTACTTAATTACTATGGACTAGAATTCATAGAGATAAATTTAAAAATTCCCCACAACACTAAGTTCATATACAGCTACAAGGAGAAAATGAACATTTATCTTACATACTATTTTATGAGTGCAGTTTTCTCTTCTGACATCCATTTTGGTCTTTTCATCCTCTTCTGTCTTTGCAATGACCGTTTGCACTCTTCCTGGATGATACCCTTGATATCCTCCCAC